TTCTTCTTCTTCTTCTTCTTCTTCTTCTTCTTCTTCTTCTTCTTCTTCTTCTTCTTCTTCTTCTTCTTCTTCTTCTTCTTCTTCTTCTTCTTCTTCGACACGGCAAAGTTTTAAAGTAGTAAATGAAAGCTTGGCTTTTTTGTTTCTTTTCTTTTTGTTTTTAACTCACCGAGGTCGTTGTCACTTTGCCACCAAGAAAAGGCATCACTGTTAAGTACAGAGATGGTAAGTGAAGGCAGGAAACAAGTCCTACTCTAGAATCTGTTTTATCTTTATTCTCCATTTCAGATTGTTTTTTGGCAAAATTAGATCTGCGGAAACCAACCCACATACAAAATAATAATAATAATAATAATCACTGAAAAATCATTCCTCAGTGAAAGTATCCTACTTGTTCTAAGATGGGTAGTATTTCTTTTTACCCTTTTGAGACAAGGTTAAGACTGACTCAGCCTTGCATGGGGGATGGGCGGGAAGGGTGGGAGAAGGAAGAGACATTGATTTGTGCTCAAGTTTAACAGCTGAACCAAGAGTTGGCATGACAGCTGATCCAGCGCCAATGAGTCAGAGCTCACTGTTCTCCTCTCAGCTCTTTATGCCCCTGCAAGTGTCAGAATGAAACTGGAAAGGCTGCCTCTTTTGCACTGTAGATGTCTCTTCCATGTGCCAAATGTGGAGATTAGATGCAACAAATGAAAGCCAAATAAAAAGAAGTATCTGATAAAAGCATGGGTTAGAGGGCTTTCCTAATCTGTGTAAAGTCAATCCAAGGGATGTTTACATACTGTAGATAACCTACTTGAACAAAATCAGTATTACAGAGAAGAAATGGATGTAAGAGGATTACATGTAAAAGTTTTGTATATTTGTTAATAATTTTGTTAATAAATATGATGTACTACATCTCAGTACCTTAGGACTTCTTTTAATAAAAGCTAAATAGAAGGAAAGGTGTACTCTAAGTTGATTTTGTTATTGGGCATGGAACTTTATGATTCTGATTGACCTGGGGTTGCCGGGATGGGAACTCATTCATAACACAGAAGCAATGTCAGAGATACTTGAGGCTGTGTGTTCTATTTTGATAACTTACCAGGTTAATGATATGGATTAAACTTTTTTAAAATAACAATTTCACTCATCTATCTCTGAAAATAGGCAAAGGACCTTTTAGTATTAATAACACAATCATAAATTTGGCTTGTATTTTTGATTTTGAGAGAAGAAATATGACAACAATGAGGTAGGATATTTTCTATTTTATTCCATTGCTAAATCAAATAGTATTCTCTATAAAAGAGCCCTCACAGTTGAGTGTGGCTTTATTTTATTCATTTTTCCCTACAATAGTTAAAATAAGCAGTATATAACATATGCCTAGTGTATCCTTTACGTGTATTAGACGTCTAAAAAGTACTTAGTTGACTTAGTTGGAAAAGACCTCTTTCTTTGACATCGTATCACTGAAGAATTGCTCCACAGTTATCATTAAAACCGAGGACAATTGTGAACACAAGAAAACAGTCTTCTAAGAATCTGGATTATAGCAGTGGCCATCAGATTTTACTATGAATCGGAATCAAATGGCAGACTCATTAAACTATCTCACCCTCAGAATTTCTGATTCAGTAGATGTGGAAAAAATTGCCATTGTAATAAGTTTCCAGGAATACTGATGCAATTGCTGCAGGCACCACATTTTGAGAATATCTGATATGCCTCTCTCTCTCTCTCTCTCTCTCTCTCTCTCTCTCTCCCTCACCTTCCTTTTCCTGTTCTTCTCCCTTCTTCCTCTCCCCTTCTCTATGTGGAATATTTATCATCCCACTTGGGGCCTACCCTATCACCACAGTGGTATTAGTAATCTCTTCTCATAAAAAAAAAAAAAAACATTTTTCAGAAATGTACAAGAACAGTGGTCAAAGATTTAAAAAGGCAGATGAGAATCTTGCAGCCAGTGAGATGTGATTTCGTGCACATTGCATGTTACCCTAATAGTCCAGGTCTCCTCTGCAGCTTTTTGTAAGTGAACTTTCATTGTCCACGAAAGGCAAGCAGCTCTCACTAAGCCTCCTTGAGGTGATGCGCAATATGAAAAGAAATGCATGTAACAAGGCAAGAGAATAAAACAGACACATGTGCCCAAACTAGATTCTACAGCATCCTGATTGTGTAAAGTCTGGCAAATTAACCTCAATAGCGTTCTTCCTTTCTTCCATAAGCTCTGAGGATAATTTTGCAACTATTTCACTTTATATTGCTAGCTTTACAACTGGGCACAGCTGTTATCTTAACCCACATCCTGCAAAGTAGGTCCCTATGATACTGGGCATGAAGTGATTGAGCAGTTCCCTGTATCTTCTAGTTCCTGGGAGGATGTTTAATACTGCAATATGGGAAATTTAAAAGAAGCCCACAATAAGAGCTTTGCTGCAGCTCATACTGGAAGCTGAAATAGATTTCAGCCCTCCAAATGGATTTTTTAAAATCCTTTCTCCTGCCTTAGTGAGCCACCATGCTGCTCCCTCTTACAGGGGCCAGGAAAAGACAATCACTAAGAAGGTAGTATTCAGGTAAGGCCAGAAAGCCATAAAATCATTCCACCATTTCCTTGTTAGCAGGTGAATACAGTAGCCTATGAATAGCATGCTGAGGGAAGTAGGGAATTTGTATGAATCAACTAATTTCATACTCAATTTAAAACTGTAGTCTGAGTGAGAATACCAGCAAAGATTAAAATTCAGAGTGGCACTTTTTAATCCTAAAAGGTGTTTTAAAATAACAGACAAAAAAATAGGTAAAAATGGAATGGCTCACATAAGAAATCTATGAATTTTGAAAACGGAATTCAAACATGCAAAAATCAGCACAACTGATTAAAGGTTGCTAGAGGTTCACCAACTAGACCCCATCACGGTTTCCCAAATAATCAAATAAAATTTAAGATGTCACTAGAGGTATGTGCCAGGATTACAAAAGCTTCTATTTGATTCTCATCAGACAATAGACAAAAATTAGGTTAAAGGTCCCTCTGTTAAAATTATTTACTAATGGCATACAAGTCTCATAATTCAACTTATATTTTTAAACGATAATGTATAGTGTGTAGAAAATCGAGGTATAATAGCACTTGCCTGTAATCCCTGTTTTGGAAGAACAGAGACGGGGATTCCTGGGAGTTGCCAGCCAGGCAGTCTGTCCTATTCTCTGAGCTCTAGGTTTCAGGTTCTGCGAAAGTCTGTCTCAGAAATTTAGAAGAACAATTAGAAAACACTTAATGCCATCCTGTAGCTTACAGAAGGATAAAGAGAGACAGAGAGACAAACAGAGACAGGGAGACACAGAAAGAGACAGAGGTTTGTTCTCACATAAAGTTCTCATATCCAAGCAGATGTACATAAATTTAAAAAAAATTTAAAAAAAGTATCTAAAATGGTGGCGCGGAATGCACAGGATATCTAAACAGCAGTAAGACAGGACATACTGTGGACCCTCAAAACCCCGACATGTGTGCCTATCAGGTGAGAGGAGAGCCCACAGGACTGATCCCGGGAAAAGTTCCCGGGCTCCTCCGCCTGGCACAACCAGCTCTAGACCACCTGCCCAATCCCACCATCTGTAAAAAAAAAAAAAAAAAAAAAAAAAAAAAAAAAAAAAAAAAACCTTCCTGGTACCAGGCTCCTGGCTCCAGTCTTGCGCACCCAGTCTCACCATCCCATGAACACATTCCGGCACCAGCAGCTCCAAGTTCCAAACTCAGGTACCTACACTCACTGTCCCGTGGAGAGGATACCTCTGGTATTGGGGGCACAGCGCATGGCTCCAAATTTTGGGACAGCTCTCACCATCCCAGGCACTGGGCCCTAACCTTGAGCCCCTGACATTCGGGACCCATCGAAGCAACCCCAGACTACTCCAAGCCTCAGCCTGCCTACCAAAGGAGATCAGTAGGACCTCTGAGCTTACAAGTTCTCTAAAAAGACTGCACCCAGCTGGCACAATGTCTGATCACAGGGCCTGGGCTCACTGACCTTGGGGTAAGATGCCAGTGGAAAGATAGTAGACTACAGGACTTCAATTGGAGAAAGGAGGATCCCTGAGCTCCTGAGGAATCCACTTGGTCCCCAGGATCAAATATCTGAGGAGACCCACCGGCAATTCCCTAAGAACCACCTGCAAATCCTAGATCATTCCCACCAATCTGAGAAAGACTCCTACAGGAACATTGGCTTCCTACCCAGGGCTCTCCCTGCAGCCCGCAGAACTCCAGTAATCAAAAGGATCTAATAGCCAACGCCAGAGACAACCAAATAGCTAAAGGTTAACATAAACACACACACACACACACACACACACACACAAAGCCAGATTAATATGGCATCCCCAGAACCCAGTTATCCCAAAGCAAGCTACCCTGTATATTCTAACACAACTGAAACACAAGAAAATTACCTTATATCTGTGCTTATGAAGACGATAATGGAGGAAAAGAATAAAATTTATAAATAAATGCAGGAAGATACAATCAAACAGATTGAGACCTTTAGAGAGAAAATAAGTAAATCACTGAATGAAATACAGGAAAGTCCAAACAAAGAAGTGAAGGAGTTGAATAAATCATTTAATGAAAGGCAGGAAAATACAAACAAACAGTAGAAAGAAATCAACAAAATGGTTCAAAATTTAAAGATGGAAATAGATACATTAAAGAAAGCCCCAAGTGAAGAAATCCTGGAGAGGGAGAATTTAGGGAATAAAATGGAAACTAAAGAGGTAAGCATCACCAACAAAATACAAGAGATGGAAGAAAGAATCTCAGGTGTAAACAACACAATGAAAGAAATCAATGCATTTGTCCAAGAAAACGTTAAATCCAAAAAAATCCTGATTTCTTGATTCAAGAAATCTAGGACACCATGAAAAGAAGAAACCTAAGATTAATAAGATTAGAAAAAAGAGAACACTACCCAATCCAAGAAACAGA